ATTTTATTTAGTTTGTAAAACAACAATCAGATGTTATTAGTGCTTCTCAGATCAGAAAGGGGAGCCCTGGTGCAAGAAGTATAATGATAAATTGTCCTTTCCCAACCTGCAAAAAGTTCCTAAGCAGCCCATCCACCAACACATCTCACCAGGTAGGGGCTTGCTGCTGTGCTTGAGCTTAGACAAGGAGGCCACTCTTGGGGCTCCCATGCCTCTCCCCTTCCTAATAACATAATTTCACCTGCAGCCCAAAGTAATATATCTGCCCTGAAAATGGAATAGAACAGAGGCTTTCCAAGAGTTTTCCTAACAGCAACCTACAGCAGGAAATGCATTTTACACTGGATCCAGGACACATATAGCTAACAAACTTCTTATACAAAGCATTACTTACCCTTGCTTACAGCAACATACTCTACCTGGTGTGGTAGTGGTCACCTATAATCCAAGCTACTCCAGAGGCTGAGACAGGAGGATTGCAAGTTCACTGCTAGCCAAGGCAGCTAGCAACACTTTGTCTTAATTTTAAAAAATAAAATAAAAGGGCTGAGATTGTTGCTCCGTGGTAGAGCACCACTGGTGTTCAATTCCCAATAATTGTGTGGGGAGGATGCAGATTGGTACTTTATTTTCTATTCTATTTTACTTCATTTTTTCAAAGAAGGAAAAATTATTATACAGCCCATTAATGAGGTCAAAATCAGAAACTCTATACGATTATCCATGAAGTGTAAGCACCAAACAGAGGTTCCTGGCAAGTCTTCCCAGTGCCATCTACTGTGAGCTCCAGGTATTGCAAACCCTCCCCACCCTCTCCCACCTCCCTACCCATCCCCACCATCACCCCAGTCTTGGCACAGACTTTTAAAGAATTGAGATTAAATCAGAGAACACTTCTACCAAAGTGGAAATGGCTCTGAAACTAACATTTCATGCAAAGCTGCTGTAATCTATAAAATATAACATAACCTGTAACCAATAGTCCCTTGTCAAACGTATGACTGTTTTTCTTTTTTTTTTTTTCGTATGACTGTTTTTCTACAGCAGTATATATTGTGTTTTCTCTAACTTGTTCCAAAAACTATTCAAAATAATATAAATTACAATATTGCTGTGACATAAATTAGAATATAGAAATCTCCTTTTCTCCTCTGTGAATGATGCAATATTTCTGTGTTGACAAGCCACTGTATAACTTACAGAGTTTAATTTTTATATTCTATAGAAGTATATTTTTCCTATCAGTCAACCTAAGGAGTTACAGTTCTGCATTCATTTCTGACTAAAATGTGTTTTTGATGCAAATACATTTGGAAATATCTCTGTAATTTCTCCATGGTCTGCTTAAATAATCATAAAAGAGCCCACGTTCATCCAGCAAGGCTAATGCAGCAATTTTAATTTACCCAGAATATTTTATGTGTGAAATAAGAATAGAATGAAAAAGCAACAAAATGCTTATGACTATTTGTCACAACTAAAAGTAACAATTTTAAATGAGACGTCTTTAATTTGAAAGTAAAGAGAACAATTAAATTAGTGAAGTCTGAAATCTTATTCTTTTTTTACCCTTTGAATGTAACAATTGAATTTTCCCCCTAAATAATCTGACATTAACAATTTTCAGAAAACATAGTGAGGGTGTGATTCAATGATGCAGAGAGAAATTATTAGTGAAACAGTGTTCCCTATAATAATCACCTACAAAGATTAAAAAGGTTCACAGGAGAACCACTCCTGCATTGAAATTACATTATCATATGTAAGTTGTTATTAATTATCCAGGGATGCCAGAGGGCTCTTCGGTTTCCAACTGCTATTTTGGGAAAGGCTGAATTTTCTCTTTTTTTAACCAGTTATAAATATGATTAATATTTCATCATTAAAGTCAAGAAAAGAGGGTGTGGCCCTATAGCTAATGGATTCAACTTGCCCTAAAACTGCCAACTAGTAGGCAGGGGCTCCATGCTATTAAGTCTCTTCTCATATTGCAACATTTTCTGCCATCAGATGATTTGTGAGTCAGAAATGTAACTGATATATTTTTAATGTGCACTCAGAGCATCCTTCCCAGGGGGAATTCAGAAGGTTGCACCAACAGGCAGGAGGCAAATAATCATTCATCAAAATGTCAAGAAATATGATTTATCTAGCACTGATTTCTTGCACAACAATCAGTTCTTTCTACTGGATTTATTTTAAAACAACTGTCAAATTAAAATACAAATAGCTTTAAATGTTAGACTTTTCACCTTATAATCTTACAAGTGCATCATTTGCAACATCTGCATAAAAGTTCAGTTCAATCATAATGGACCCGGATTTACCTACTTGGTACTAACATATGTAAAATTAGCATTCATTTCTCTTTGATGTGACAAGGTGTGGCTGTCACAGATCCTCACTGGTTAATCATCAATAGTTACTCCACAGGTCCCTGTTCTTCCCTGGCCATTGTCCATCCTATTAGTTTCATTCAAAATCAAACTGGGAGATACCAGAGTTCTTTGCTTAAAGCCAAGCCCAAAACTATTCTGTGTCTGGTTAATCCCTACCAATTAATGAGTTAAAGTTGAGTTGGTCAGCAGCAGGTATGTCCAGAGCTCTACTGATCTCACGAAGGAGTAGGAAGGATTGGGGTAGAGGAGAAGGGCTGACTGGTGCTGAGCTTCTCTGGGACTAAAGTGTCAAAAGATGAAAACAGGAATGAGAAAATTATGGTTTATTTCCAATGCTTACATTTACCAACGTAATACTTTTAATAGAAAAAAAATGCAGCAGTATGACAGTCCTATTTACAAAATGACTACAGGATTTATTTTTTTAAATATTAATTTGTGGTGCGATCTGCTAATTGGGTATATATCTAAGTTCATTTGGAGATGATCTCAAATATCCAAACCTTTCCCTACTATTTTTCATCTTACCTTCTTCTCTTTTTTTCTCCCCTACTCTGGAAGACACACACATACACAAAATTTCCTGCCCTCGGAGAACTCCAAAGCTACTTAGGAAGAAAACACCAATACAAAGAAAAACAACAAAAATCATGGAAAACAGAATAAAATCAAGTGTTGAATTGTAACTGAAGACTTCAGAGCCGTAGGAGTTTTGACTATAAATTCCAAAATATGAAGTGATAGTTAGCCAACAATACACAATCATTATTCAAATTTAGAGAATCAAATAAAGGAATACAAGGGAAAGAAAGCTGAACTTGTCATTGTGATATGGGCACTAAAGCCTAAGATGAAATTTTTCATTGAGGGAAAATCAATTTGCAATCTCCAAACCATCTTTACCAGCCAGCGTCCTACACTGGCTTTTTTCATTCTAACCCAGCCAGGACTTCAATAGATTCCTAACAACACTGACCCTAAGAGAGTAAAGGGAGAGCTCACCGGCCAGCTACTCCACTCCAAGACCTCTCAACCCTAAGGTGTGTTCAGGCCAGGAAGTTGCCTCCACAGGACTGGCCTAATTTCTCACAAGCTGATTCAGCACATCTCTCCAGTGGCAGGGCTTTGGGCAGCTCCTGGGGCTTTGTCTCTTCATGAACAGACACTCCCTCTTAGACTAAGACTTAGAACTAGAAGGTGAGGTAGTAGCCACGGTAACCACGGTACTCACGTTCACCCATGCAAGAACGGCAGATGTCGGCTTATGGCCTACGGGGCTCCAGCTTTGCAAGGAAAAGTCAATACCTTCACGCAAACTATGGTAATCATGGGAAATCCATTTCTGCCTTGTCAGGATGAATCATCCTCACTTCAGGTAGAACTGACCTGAGAAAACCCTGCGTGAGAATGTGCAGCCTGCTCCTCTAAGAACTGGCTGCTCTGCAGGAATCATGAAGCAAGGAGTGGGAGGAGACTGGACAAACGTGGCCTACTCCTCACATTAATTTCTCATCTGACTTCCTGTCACTAGCATCTCAAGACATCAAAATGCCCAACCAAATACCCAACACTAAGTCCTCACACTGAGGCATCAAGCTTCGCAGAGAAAGAACTAAAGTGTGCGGGACATGTTTCCCAGAAGCTTCTCCAGAAATCCTATCAGTACCCCTTCTAGCAGTATGTGTACTGGGAGGGAGGGATGGGATTGGTAGACTTCATTCTGTGCTCTTTCTTTTCTGAATAATCTGGGCAACTACCCCTCCACCCCCCGCAAAAAAAAAAAAAAAAGTAACCTCCTTGCAATTTCCCAATTGTGGAAAGAGGATGAAGCTGTCAGGGTCCGAGCCAGAGCACCCTCTGCAGATGGCCGGACGACTCCCTCTAGGCAGGCAGAGACCCTGTGGCCAGCTTTGGCAAAAAGAAGCAAGACTTGTCACCTCCACACACACCCATTCTTGGCTCTTGACATACCCTTCAAAGTGATAGAATTAAATAGGTAACTCAGAGAAATACAAGTGGGGATTTAGCCAACACTGATGGCGCCCCATCTTCGCTGGCCCTGAACCCAATTTCCAGAGGCCCTGAGCCCTGCTCTGTGGTTCCCCTAAGTGACAGCCTCTCATGCACTGGAATCTCAAGACTTGCAAATACATTTTCACATCGTTGGAACGCCTGCTTAAATAATAATAAACAGAACTTCAAATGCAATAGTAGTCTTGAACTAGTAGGAGTAGAAATAACATCAACAACTACTCTTCAAACCCACCTACTCCTTCAAATGCAGGGAGCTGGGGCTTTGCGTCCTCCTAGGTGGAGACGCAAAGCCTTAGCTGGCTCCGCCTGGCCTGCCCAGGGGCTGAAGGGGAGGAAATAGGGCATTCGTGGAGCCCTGGACTCTAGGAAAGCTCCAGAGGGTCACAAGGGAACTCCGGAGGCTTAGAGGCTTTGGTGACCTCTTGGGGTTCGGGGGCCCCAAGAAGCTTCAGGAGCCGGGGAGGCCCGGAGTGCCCCGCCCGAGGCGCTGGGGGGGGGGCGGTGCGGGCGGCAAGGAGCCGCCCCCTCCGTAACTTTCTCGGTAGCTCCAGGGAAGAGGCGGGGTGTGGGGTGCGGTTAAAAGGCGGCGCTGCAGCAGACAGGTGTTGAAGACCCGCAGCGCCCAGCGCGCTCCGCTGTCCCGACTCGGAGCCAGTCGGCTGCGCTCCGGCCTGCTACAAGCGAGCGCGGAGCCGGCCCCCGCCCAGGACTAGCCCCAGATCCGAGGGAGCGCCCCAGTAGCTGCCAGAGACCCCTCGCCGCCCGCCGGGCCCCGCCGCACGCTCTCTCCGGACGCAGGTGAGGCCGCGGACCGGCGTACCCCGCTCACAGCTGTACGCCGGGCGCCGACCTGTGATGCCTCGGGGTGGTCTAGGCCAGGAGACTCAAAGCCGAGAGGGACTTGGGGAAGGCCGGGGAAACTAAGCCCGGATGCCCAACCGCCGAGGTCTGGGGACCCCTAGGGTCTGGCGAGGAGTTCGTAGGAGCGAGTCGTGACTGCTGCCTGGGGGCTGGAGGCAAGTGGCGAGAGTACATTTCTGGGCAGGAGTATCATGGGCTGAACTCTGGAAGTTGAATGGGGCTGCCTGGGCTGGGTTTGCAGTGGCGGCTGGGGAAAGGGACGAGGTGGCACAACCCCCGACCTAGAAATCGAGTTTGGCGCGTGGTGCGCGTATCAGAGGAAAAAAGGGGGACCAGGCCAACCTATGTGGCGTCTGTTGCCGATATTACTAGGGGCTAATTCCCCCCACAGTCTTCTGGCTACTTTATCTGCCACCACCAAAAGTTTTAAATTAACCAAAACCTTTTTTTAGAAAGCAAACTCACTTTAGTTTGTTAAGCAGGAAGCCTCCACGGGAAGAAACTGACCTTTACCTCCTCGCATTCTCTTTGCAAAGAAAGTACTGGGGTGAAGTCGGGGCGATTACCTAGAACTCGCACCTAATACAGTTCCTGGGACAGGGCCGAGCGGAGGCTAAACATGGGTCAGGACTTTGGTTGCTTTTCTTTTTTTTTTTTTTTTTAAACACAAGAGCTTTTGCTTCCTGGAGAAGTTCTCCAACTGGAAGGAAAACTCATAGGACACTTACTCTCAGAGGAGTTGGTGTGCAGTTGAGAAATATGTCCTTTTAGGATGCTTGCATCAGTCCCTCCGTCGCCCCTTATGGAGGTGGGGAATAAGCCTGCCCAGTGAGCTTTTTCCAGATTCCTCAGAGCTGGACTTTAGGACCTGAGACTATCTTGAGATGTGTAGGACAGCCATGCCTCCATGTGCCCTTTGAGTCCATTTTAAAACTGTGTTAAGTCAATCACAATTAAAGACACTTGTAAGAAGGTGGGGAGCTGTGTAGGGACAGGTCCTTTAGGTGGACCCACCAGTCAGGTAAGGGGTGGGAAGGTAAGGGGCAAATAACTCCTTGTTCCTTTTCTGGAACTGGGTGATTCACCTAGTGCCTTCCCAAAAGAAGTGAACCAACCCCTGGACTCGTGCTCTGGCAATGCTCCAAGCAATTGCAGAGTGGCCTGGGCCAGGTAGGAACCTGCATGTGACTGCCCAAGTCAGGAGGCCAGGAGAGCAGCTCTGGGGCAAATTTGTACATTAAGAATAATTTCACCCTGCTTTTTTAGTCCATCTTACCTTGTTATTCTTATCCCATTGGGGGCTCAAATTTTAATTTATTCCTCTTCTTGAAAGGGCCTTTAAAGCAGGTAGCAAGCAGTAATGTGGGTGCAATGGCATGCACCTGTAGTCTCAGCTACTTGGAAGGCTGAGGCTGAAGGATCACTTGAGCCCAGAAGTTGGAAACCAGCCTGGTCAAGATAGCAATACTCAAAAAACAAGTAGCTATAACTTTGGTTTTAGAACAACATCAAGATAGAGGTTACTTGGAACTGTATTTTTCTCAACTGAGGGTGACTAGACTGTTCTATAGAAATGTATAGGATCTGTGTTTGATGCTATAGAGTTGGGCCAAGCATAAATCCCAAATTCCCCTTCCACCTCCATAGTTTTGACCAGGTATATGGAGGCTTATTTCAATGAGTGTCCTGTTTTCCCTTTAGTGAGTGCATGAAAAACTGAAAATTCTAATTCCAGGAGATGGTTTTATTAAAATCTGAATGCTGTTTCTTTCAGTGGTTTTGCTGTTGAAGGCAGTATTAGATTGAGCTGTGAGACTTTTCAAAGGACAACTGACTCACGTAAGGGCCTCTCTGACAGTCTGAATTTAAATGGGTCAGGGCTGAACCTGAACTAAATCACTATATTTTTTTCTAGTGACATTTCTTCTTTCAAACTGAATGAGGCTAAATGTTTTACCATTTCCGTATATTTCAGTCTGACTTAACTTTCTTGCCCAGGGCTCTTCTGCCTCCTCTGATCAAGGTGGCATTGAATAGGTTCAGTCAGATCTTGGTGTCCCACAGCAGCAACTGTAGGTAATGAGAGACAATCAGTCTGAGCCTGCCTTGAGAGTCCAGCAGGAAACAGGATGCAACTTGCCTAAAATCAGGAGCGCAGGATGCTTTTAAGTAAGAGAAGGAGGATTCATTACAGCTTAGAAAGGGTGGAAAAGAGGTGACTCATGAGGACTGTGGAGAGGATGGAATCTTGTTTAGAAGAGAAGTTGATTGTGTCAGACAGGGTGTAGCTATGAATCAATGAAGACAGTTCATATCCTGGGATGAAATAGAAGGCCTCTGGCTCATGGAAGATTATCCATGGGCCCCTTCACACCTGCTTTCAGTAAGGAGTATGTTACCCCAGCAGATTTTGGTTCTAAACTACAACAATGATAGGCTTCATTGGACCAGCAATGGGGAACCACTGGTTGGATTTTTGGTCATTTTTCATAATGTGTCTCTTAGAAATACTTCTAACCATAACCCATAACAACAATGCTGTTGCAACACTTATCTAAACCGATACTCTGAGTACTAACCAGTCAGTCCCAATGTGACAGTGAGGCCACCAACCTGTACACAAAAATCCATGCACAGAGCAACTTTTCTACTTGAAGAGACCATTTATTCCTACTTTTCTCCATATAGAAGAAGGAATCAAGGCCCTTGGTGAAATGTTAACTTGCAGGGGGTGTCAAATGTAAATATAACCATTTGTAATAACCATTTCACTGCTACATCCCAAGCCTATGAAAATGAACTGAAATATTTTTAGTAAAGGGATTCTGCAGCGAAAATTGACACAACACTGGATTAGGTGGACTTCCATAAATTATATCACCTGAACTTGGCCTCTCAGCATTTAAGGTAAAGTTGGTCAAAACTAGGGCAGTTCCACTGGTACAGTCCAAAACTTGTTGCTACCAGTGGATCTAACTATTGAACCCTGAGTGGCTGTGGTGGAGTTGGGAATATCCCAGGAGAATCTGTGGAAGAATCAATAGATTTGGTCAGAACTCATTTGTACCTTTAAGCTAACAAGTACTTTGCATTGGTGTACCCCATACCCCAAATATTTATTATATGCTAAAGATTGGGTGAATTACTCAAGTGAACAAGCTACTCATTATTAGAGAACATATAGAAACTTGTTCAAGATTGTTTAGGAGCTGTATATTTAATCCTGTGGCAAACCAAATTGGTTTTGCCCTCACCATTTTGGAGGAGGATAGAGTCAGTGCTCAGGAAGAGATTTAAAAGTGCTTACTTTCCTAGACCCAGAGAAATTATCCAGATTCTGTCCAGACTAGTGATCTCTATGTCATGTTCATTTTTCTTTTCTAGCACCAACCTCCCAGAGAACAGGATGGATTGGGGCACACTACAGACTATCCTGGGGGGTGTCAACAAACACTCCACCAGTATTGGTAAAATCTGGCTCACTGTCCTCTTCATTTTTCGCATCATGATCCTTGTGGTGGCTGCCAAGGAGGTATGGGGAGATGAGCAAGCTGATTTTATCTGTAATACTCTCCAGCCTGGCTGCAAAAATGTTTGCTATGACCACCACTTCCCCATCTCTCACATCCGGCTTTGGGCACTGCAGCTGATCTTTGTGTCCACACCAGCACTCCTGGTGGCCATGCATGTGGCCTACCGGAGACATGAGAAGAAAAGAAAGTTCATGAAGGGAGAGATGAAGAATGAATATAAGGACATTGAAGAGATCAAAACCCAGAAGGTTCGTATTGAAGGGTCCCTGTGGTGGACCTACACCAGCAGCATCTTCTTCCGGGTCATCTTTGAAGCTGTCTTCATGTATGTCTTTTACGTCATGTACAATGGCTTCTTCATGCAGCGTCTGGTGAAGTGTAACGCCTGGCCTTGTCCCAATACGGTGGACTGCTTTATTTCCAGGCCCACAGAAAAGACTGTCTTTACGGTGTTCATGATTGCAGTATCTGGAATATGTATCCTGCTAAATGTCACAGAATTGTGTTATTTGCTCATTAGATACTGCTCAGGGAAGTCCAGAAAACCAGTTTAATACATTTGCCCAGCTGTTAGAAAAAGATTGCATGAAAGGATGAAGCAACCTGTGCTTAGCTGTCAAGGTTCAGTCACCAGCATTTCCCAAGACAAAGATTCCCATCTTAAATGCAACCATTCAACCCCCTCCCCAGGAGGCCTCACATGAAACTCCAGATGCCTCCATGGGGCTCTACCCTCCCAAAGCTCCAAAATAAAGCCCTAACTCTATGCCTGTATTAATTTTTACTAAAGTTAGTTCCAGTAAGATCCTGTGTTGGTAGGGCTTATTCCTGTAAGATATTTTCATATTTTAAACAAAGGATTCTGGTATTTGTTTCTTCTTTGGGGAAGGGAGAGAGAAAGAGCCAGGTTATAAAAGAAATGCTGAGAAAGTTCAAGTGCTTCCCTTTGAATACTTTTGCCAAGTTTCCCCCAGTTAAAGGTGAACATAGAAAATTGTGGTTCTTTTATTTGCTTTGGAAGTTTTAATCTGTAACAATGGACAAAGTTATCTAATGCTTCAAGCTCTGTTGTCCTTTTTTTTTTTTTTAATGAAGACTTTAAAATAAGATAGGTTCTTTTGATGTATTGGAAACCATTATATGTTCCTCCTATTTCAAAGTCTCAGATTGTGATATGTAAATGGTTTGTATTAGATCCTACAATTTAATTTAAAAGATGGCCTTTTGGTTATGAGTACTTTGCAGTGCTGCCAAGAGGCAGCCTGCTATATTAATAGTGATTATGTTGTGCACAACAACGTTGCAGCCTCTCTCAAGACAAACTAGAAGTTCTTAGTGATGGCCTATGATAGCAGATGGCCTCTTTTCAAAAATTTTAGTTTTGCATAAGTACAGACTAGAGATACCACCAGTTACTACTTGCAACAAGGCTGACTCAACATCCTCTCTTCTCCTCCAACATTTGCCTTCTTCATTACTGTGGTACATAGTACCCAACCTCAAAAGAACACTGATTTAAAGAGGTTGCGCCGGAATTGTTTTGCCACAGTACAATTTAATGGTGCAGAACAAAAGGGGGTTGGGAGACAGGGGGGTTTACTATTTTTAAAGAACCAATGGAAAGACTAGACTCTAAAGTCTGTTGATTAAAAATGAGTTTTTTTCTACTTTGAATATTTGTTTGCTGTTCTCTTCAGCATCCATTTTTTTAAGTGAAAATAGAATTATAATAGGCCTTTGTAGAAATAGAAACTAGGGTTTAGATCAATATGTAATAGTTTAATAGGACAAATTGAATCCTGATATTACCATTATGCTTGACATTTCCAAAAAACAATAATCGACATAACTTCAATGAGGGGAAACATTTTCCTGTTGGCAAAAAATAGTAATGTAAGACCATTTTGTAATAATAAATAGCTTTCATTACTTGCTTGTTACTGAAATACTTTTGTAAAGTCTCAAATATCACTTAAAATGTTAAAATATAACTAATACACACACTGATTCTTTAAAATCTAAGTTTTTGTAAAATATCAAATTTTAACTTAATATTTTGCATAAGTATATTCATATTTTATATTTGATAACATCTCATGAGTATATTAACAGGTTATATCTACCCACTGTTCTGGGATTCTTCTGCTTCAGTTAAAGCAAAACCTCTGTGACTAAAAAAAATATTGGTAAGAAAGGAAGAAAAAGATTATTTCTGTCCAAACTCATGCCATTTCTCACAGATTTTGACTAACACCATCCTAAGGAGGATACAATGTGAAGATTAGAAAAAGCTGAGAGAATACTAAACTTGGGTTAGTTATGTGGTCAGTTTGGCTCCTAGATGAATCACAGGACTTAAAAAATTTAAAATATTCTTCATATATAGAATTCATATTAAAAAAATTAAACTGTCCTTCCTGAAGAAAACTGGCTGAGGCATGAAAAAAAAAGTTCTTCTAAGGTACCTTTTCCATGGAAATTTATTTCTCTCTAGTAGTATGTAACCAAAGCTGGCTTATGAAACTGCTTTGTGTTTCTTGGTGGTCATACCAAGGGAAATACACCTGCCAGACCAGCCTGTCTGAGCATGACTGACTGTATGTGTGCAGCTGTCTCCAGATGGCCACCAATGCCTATGTCCTTCGAGGTACAAGCTTTCTGTCCAAGGCTTCAAAGCATTTCACACATCAATAATTGAGTATTTTATAGAGTGCCATACATTTTAAAAATGAATTTAAAAGGATAAAAAGAAGCCCACTTCCCACCTAGGTATTAGAAAAGAGGTACATAATCCCTACCTACTTTTCAAAGTGCCCTGCACATAGGCTGTTATAATAACTCACAACTTTTTAAATAGCTAGTTTCACTCCTACAAACTATGAAGATTATTACTCTCAAGGTATTAAAAGACAGAGCCCAAGTAATTACAGACCACTACTGCCCATTTTAAAGAACCGATAAAAAGGTCTGGACATATGCCTGAAAATTAAAGTTTGAACTCTGAAAGCAATAATTCCAAATCTGTATTTGTATCTCAAATCAATGATTAGCAATTTGTATGGGGAAAAAAAATCCTGTTTAGAAGGGTGTCCTGCCAGCTGAGCCCTCCATGTGTATGAGCTCTGGTGGTTTATAAGCAGTGAGTACAGCCAAGTGACAATTTTACCTGCATGAGATTCATTAACAAACTAGAGAACAATTGTCAAACAATTCTTCATAGATGTGCACTTTCAAAAGACAGGCCACAGCTGGTGTGAGTGGATCAGGTCTACTCAGAGGGCCAATGGTGTGTTCTGTAGAAGTCCTTGGCCTGAGCTGCCCTAGTCACTGTCCCTAACCAAGTCATCCACCAGAAAGCAGCCAGCAAATTCTGAGAGCTAGAAGTGTAGATGGGAGCTCACTCACTCTAACCTCAATTTCCTTATCCTACAATGGGCTTCCTGAATACTTCCCAAATTTAGTGGCAGTCAAATGAGAAAACTTATGTAAAATCTCTTCACCTAGGATGGCACTAAGAAAGATATATTGTCATCTCTTTTCCACTTGATAAATCCCAAGCTGGAGAAATGATGGATGATTTTTTAGGTAGGAAGGACTCTAACAAAGTTTGATCACCTGGAAGCTTGAAAAAAAATACACATTTACACAAAGTCTGAAAAAAAAAAGTATGAGGCAGGGGTAAGAGAGACCAGCCACATCAGCATTGGGTAGAATGGCTGAGTGCAGATACAGCAACAGAAAAAAAGATAAGGTGATGACAGCTATGTTAGTCCATAATTCAAGAAACTCAACATTGTAACAAAGAAAGGTATTGATTTGCTGGCCAAGGTCTCTACCGTTCATATGTATCACCAAATACTTTTACATCTATTCTCCTTGTTCATCCCCACAGCAGCACTAAAGTGTTAGGCTATTAGGCTTACTTCTACGGAATGCATCGAGAAGATGCAGCTCAACAAGACAACATATCAAGTCCAAAAGCCAACAGCAGCCCGTCCTACTATATAAAGGAGATGGATTGGACCTGTTGGTCCAATAGGAGTCCTTCCCCAGCCCATCTTTCCTAATGTTGATAAGATTCAGGAGACAATTTCAACTTCATGAGACATTCTATTCCATCCCACATATTGTTAATGATTCATTTCCTTAGGTGATACATATTGCACACCAACTAAGTGCCAGGAAATATTAGGTACTGGGTCTATAACTTTGAACAAAACAAAAGCTCAGCTTTCTTGATGAAGGAGGCAGACTGTAAAAAAATCCCTGCAGATACTATCTGCTATTGGAAAGTGATGGAGAAAAATAAGACCATGTAAGGGAAACAGGAAGTGCCTGGGCACCCAAAAAATGCTACTTAAGGTAGGCTGATCGGGGAAGGTCTCTCTGTTGACACCTACAGGAACTGGGTAACAAACAACAACATAAATATCTTAGGAAAGTGTCCTAGTGAAAGAGGAAGGTCAGGACATCACAGTGTGGCTTGATGGGAGGAAATGAGACCAAACAAGAAGGCAATTGGGTCAGATGTGGTGTGCGGGCCACTGTGAGGACTTACAATTGCAAGACTCTTTCCCATGTTATGCCCAAATCTGCCTCCTTACTGCACCTGTTCTGTAGCATTTGTTCTGCCCTCTCTTGGTAGACCAGAAATAAGTCTACTTTCTACTCCAGCACCCTGAAAATGGCTGAGAATAGAGCCAAATTCAATCTTGACTTTATTCTCTATTTACACAGCTTCACATTCCCCAATTAGATATTTATTTACTTATGCAATATTAAGCTACTGCTGTGTACTGCCCTACTAGGTAAAGACTGCCTTAAGCTTCCCTAAGAAAGAATGAAGAGCATTCTCTGATTGTCAAGCTGTAGTGACTGCCAGAAGAGTCCTCCTCATGGCAGGAAATACACACTTTATGGTAGCACCATGGAATCACTGTTATGGATATATTAGGTAATTTCCATTTATCATTTTAACAGCTTTATCAACTTTGCTCAGTTTAAAGCAAAAAGGCAACAATGTAACTTGTATAATTATAGACAATATATAATTTCATTTTAAATAATACAGAAACATACAAAATCAAAAGGGAAATTCAGAGCCAGGTGGTGGTGTGCACCTGTAATTCCAGCAAGTCAGAAGACTGAGGCAGGAGGATCACAAATTGGAGACCAGCCTGGGCAACTGGGTGAGACTGTGTCTTAAAATTAAAAATTTTTTTAAAAAGAGTTGGAGATGTAAAACACCTTGGGTTCAATCCCTAGTACTAGAAAATAAAAGGGGAAGGGGAGAATTCAGTCTCATTTCACTCTCCTATCCAGTAATCTCAGTATCCACATCTCAATGTATATACTTCATATTTTTTCCATATAATTATACAAACAGACTGTCCCCCAACCAACCATGGTTAAATTTAGGATTTTAAAACTTTCTGATGGTGTAAAAGCAGTACACATATAGTAGAAATAATACCTTGAATTTTTAACTTAGATCTTTTCCTGGGTTTGAGCACCATGTGGGCGGATCCTCTCTCAATGCTGGGCAGTGACAGCAACAGAGACCACATCCTAATTCCCCATCACCCCACCCCCCCAAAAGCTCCATGAACACCAGAGAAAATAACCAACACTCTATGGTATGCTATGTTGCTAAGCTATGTTTGTAGGTTGATGGATTAAATGAATTTTCAATTTAAAATACTTTCAACTTACAGTGGGGTTATAGTATATAACCCCATCAGAAGTAAAGGAACCTCTTTACTTATATACATACACACAAAAGCATACATAATGATTTTGGTTAGCACTTCCTATATCATTTTTCTCAGTGATATTTTCCTATTTAGTAATGTGCCTTGGAAATCTTTCAAGATCAGTATATATAAATATTTATTCTTTCAACAATGTACATTGTCCCATAGAATGACAGAGTTGTGTTATTTAACCATCTCCTTGTTCAGGAACAGTTATGCCATTTCCAATTTTTCATAAAACTGCCCTTCCACCCCCTATCAAAACAGATTTTCCCTTTGCAGTTAAATACATTTTTCTAACCTACATTCATGGCTGTCCATTTTCCATGTTAAGCCTCATCTTACTGGTTTTGCCTCATCTTCCTGGTTCTGGCTCATCCTTCTGGTTCATCCAGATCTTTTTGAATCGTGTCTTCAGTTTATTAGCAGTTCCATCCAACTTTACGGCATCTGTCAGTTTAATGAGCGTGCTTTCTCTGTGGTCACTTAAGCCAATAAAAATGTTGAATGTGGAATGCCACCAAAGATTTCTTTCTAGCTCCACATGAGTTCATTTACCAAAGAGATTCAAGATTGAAGTTTTAAGAATAAATGTACTAAGCCACATTTAGTTTGCAAGTTTCCACCATGACAGTAAGGCTTTGTCAAGTGTTTTGCAAAAAAAAAAAATTATCTAAGCATGTCTACCATTTCATTAATCATTTTCAAAATACATTTAACAAGATCTTCATATGAGCAGAGCATTATTCTAGGCCTCTAGGACACAAAGATGGATTTGAAAGGAGGTCATAATGCAGGTGACAGATGCATATAAAATGGGTACTTTACAAAACATTACAGTTTGTGGCAAGCTGGAAATGAAAGGTGCAACAAAGCCTTCAAGAGGTCAGGACATTGAAATGGTTATTTTGATTTTCTTGAAGGTCCCAGGAACAACTTCATGAAAATTAAATCACAAAAGACCACAGGCTTTTGCCAGAAAACGACCTCAGACTGGTGGTTAGTTTGATATTTTGGTTTCTTTGAAAAGTTAATTTATCAAAGACTCGTTTTGCTACTTGATATTATAACTGGCTGAAGGATTTCTTGGAAGCCCTTTGTGCAGACTAGAACCTGCAATGATGTGTAAAGCCTCTCTCTGCTGCCATCTTCTGTCTATAAGGAGTTAGGACACTG